ACCCTATAAATACTTCCTTTTAATAGCAAAATAATATTTTATAGTATGGATATACCACATTTTATTTATATGTTCATCAGTTGATGGACATTTGGTTTGTTTGTACTTTGTTGCCACTGGGAATAAAGCTGGTAATGAATGTTATAAACAAGTTTTTGTGTGAACAGAGTTCCATTTCTCCTCAGTACATACCTAAGATTGGAATTGCTCTACGACATAGTACTCTACTTTAACTTTCTAAGGAAGTGCCAGTTTCTCTATGTCCTCTGCAACACTAATCTTTAAGATTATAGCTGTCTGGTAGGTTTGAAATGCTGCCTCACTGTGGTTCGATTCTCATTTACCTAATGAGTATCGTTTCCCTTTGGGGCATCTTTCCTTGTACTTATTTCTCTGGCCAATACGTTTTTAAGGGTCTTTATATCTTGTAGATATGTCCCTTATCAGATACAGGATTTGTAAATATTTCTCTCATTCTGTAGGTTTTGTTTTCAGTATCTTGATGGTGACTTTTAATGCAAAACAAGTTTTAATTTTGATAAAATCCAGTTTATTGATTCGTTTATCATTTACATTAGTTTCCTATGGCTACTGTTTAAAAATTTACCAAAAATGTAGTATCTTAAAGCAACACAAACGTATTATCTTATAGTTCTGTACTTTAGAAATCTAAAACAGGTCTTATGGTGGGCTAAATGGGCTAAAAATCAAAGCACTGGCAGTTCTATAAGTTTTAGACTCTAGGGGAAGCCATTTCCAGGTTCTGGAGCAGTGGTTCTCAATCTATGGGTCACAACCCACAGGAACTGTATTAAAGGGTCACGGCATTAGAAAGGTTGAAAACCACTGTTCTAGAGGCTACCTGAATTCTTTGGCTCACAGGCCTCTTGTACTTCTTCCGTGTAAGGTAGCATTGGTCATAGATTTTAAGAATTAGGAAGTGAATGTCTGTGAAAGGCCATCTTCCTACCTATCACATTGCTTATTCTTTTGTGTTCTATCTAAGAAATCATCATTTAACCCAAATCACAAAGATTTGGTTCTACATTTCCTGCTAAAAGTTTTATAATATTCACTATTATATTTGGGTTTATGACTCATTTTTCCTATCTAGTCTGATTTCCTTTTTCACATGTAGATATCCATTTGTCCCAGCACAGTTTGTTGAAAAAACTTCTTTTCCCTGTTGAAGTGTCTTGGTACCTTTGTTGAAAACTAAATGACCCTAAATGTAAGGACTTATTTTTGGACTCTGAATTCTATTGCATTGATTTATATCTTTATGCCAGTACCCTGCTGACTTGATTACTGTGTCTTTGTATTAATGTAGATATCAGTAAACATCAGCCTTTCATCTTTATTTTTTTTTTCAAGATTATTTTGGCTATTCTGAACTAGCCACGAGTTCTTTTTTCATTTCTATGAGCTTTAGAATTGAGTTCTCAATTTCTGCAAAGAGAAAAAGGCTGCTGGGATTTTGATAGGGATTGCATTGAATCTAGAGATTAATTGTGGAATATTGCTATCCTAATGTGTGTGGATCTTCTAACTTTAGAATTTCTTTCCATTTATTTAGATTATCTTTAATGTTTTTTGAATA